TCATGCAATTTTTTTTTTTTTGCCACTACCACATACTTTACTGACTATGCAAAGAAAGTACAAATGCACATATTTAATGACTATGTATAATAATCATTTATAATATAATATAAATATAATATAATACAATATAATATAAATAAATAACATTGCAAAGATTGGGTATTCCAAAACACTTAATTGTTCTCCTGATTAACCTGTACATAGACCAAGATGCAGTTATTCAAATAGAATAAGGGATGCTGAACAGTTAAAATCAGGATAGGTATGTTCCAAGATTGTATTCTTTCAACATACTTATTCAATCTTTTTTAAAATTTTATTGTGAATTATGTGACAGTTTGTATGGGAGAACATCAGTTTTACATTCATCCTATCGTATATTGTTTCATTGCCATGGTTACAATCTCCTCCACGCATCACCAATCAATGAAATGGTACATCCTATACGCCTGCTCCCCACACCCCTTTACCCCCAACCCCCGCTCCCTGGGTTCCAAGTCCCCAGCTGCTCCATCTCTCCATGTCATCATCTCTGCCTCCATCTCAGGGATCGCTGCTTCCTTGGATAGGGTTCCGCTCTCCGCTCTTCTCCCTTCACGGTTCCAGGGACCTCTGCTCCTAACCTGCAAAGTTAATCACTCCCCTCCTTGCCACAAAATGTCTACCTTTACATTTACAACCTTCACAATCAGTCCTGGTAACAATTATTCACCCTTGTATCACAAGAGACCTATTCTGCATTTCCTTACATTAGTCCCGCCTAGACAGATTGGATACTACTCAGTGGAGATTCTATCTTCCTCCATGCCCTCTGGATCTAGGTTCCCTCTTGAAAGCCTGTAAACCAGTCACTTCTTGCTTTTGTGGCCTCCTCATTTTGGATAACCAATGTCCAAGTTGCCCGTCCCTGTCCACTCTGTGTATGGAGAGGGTGGGAATGATCCTTGCTGTAAGGATTTGTTCCCTCTTTTGAGTCACTGCATCCATAGGTGTAGGTCAAGTTCATCAAATTGTATCAGATTACTCTTTTTTCCCTCTTCTTTCTTCTTCTAGTTGCGCTCTGATCATCTAGTCATTGAGACCAGGTCAAACGGATATTATCTGCAAATGTGGGTTTCTTCAAGGTAGCAAGGTAGTATTCTTCAAGGTAGCATACTATTCCATTATGTTATGTACCACAGTTTGTTTATCCATTCTTAACTTGATGGACACTTAGGCTGTCTCCATCTATTTGCTATTGTAAATAGTGTTGCTGTGAACATTGGTGTGCATATATCTACTCGTGTTATGGCTCTTATTTCTTATGGGTAAATACCAAGTAGAGGAGTTGATGGATCATAAGGTATTTCTATTCCCAACCTTCTGAGGAAGCGCCATATTGCTTTCCAGAGAGGTTGGACCATTTTGTAGTCCCACCAGCAACGCAGGAGCATCCTAATCTCTCCACATCCCCACCAGCATTTATTGTCCTCTACTTTTTTAATCTTTGCTCTTATTGCTGGTGTGAGATGATATCTCATTGTTGTTTTGATTTGCATCTCTCTAATGGTTAGTGATCGTGAACATTTCTTCATATGTTTGTTGGCTGCCCGGATTTCTTCCTTAGTGAAGTGTCTGTTCAAGTCCTGTGCCCACTTTTTAACTGGGTTATCTGTCTTTTTCTTGTAGAGGTGTTGTAGTTTCCTATATATTTTATAAATGAGTCCCTTGTCTGATGTGTTGTTACAAAATAATTTTTCCCATTCTGTGGGCTAACCTTTTTACTCTTTTGGTGAAGTCTTTTGATGCACATAAGTATTTAATTTTTAGTATGTCCTAATCAACTATTTTGTTTACTTTTGTTTGTGCAGTTTTCAAAATGTTTGGTAGTCTGTGTATTCCCTGAATTAGAGCCCTCACATTTGTCACTACTTTTTCATTGGTGGCCTTCATAATTCTGGGATTCATATTTAGGTCTCTAATCCATGCTGAGTTGGTTTTTGTATAAGGTGTGAGGTAAAGATCTTGTTTCAGTCTTTTGCATATCACTTTCCAGTTCTGCCAGCACCATCTGTTGAAAAGACTATCCTTTCCCCAGGCAATATATTTAGGTACTTTGTCGAAAATCAGTTGGCTGTATGTGGATGGGTTAATTTCTAGATTCTCGATTCTATAGTCAATTGATTTTGACATTCAATGAGGAGAAGAACAGTCTTTTCAACAAATTGTACTGACATTATTGAATATCCATGTGTTAAAGAATGAAATTGGGCCCCAACTTCATACCATACACAAAAATTAAGTCAAAATAGATAAAATGCCTAAGTGTAAAAGCCAGAATCATTAAACTCTTAGAAAAATTCATAGACATAAATTTTCATGATCTCGGATTAGGCAATAGATTCTTATATATGATCTCAAAAGAATAAACAACAAAAGAAAAAAATGCATTAGTTGGACATCATGAATTTTTTTTTTTTTAATTTGCACTTTAAAGGGCAACATCAATAAAATAAAGACAAGCCACAGAATGGGAAAAAATTTTTTTTTAAATAATTTATCTGATAAGGGACTTATTTGTCTCCAAATAATTGTTACAACTCAATTAATAAAAAGACAAGTAATTCCATTTGAAATTGGGCAAAGGCTATATGATAAAACTTTTCCCCAATGAGCATGTAATAAATGGTTAATAAGCACAGAACAAGTCCTGCTGTGGCATTTTACAATAAACACTGGACTGCTAACCCCAAGGTTGACAGTTCAAACAGACCAGTTACTCCTTGGGAACCTTATACATGGCCCCAGTGAATCAGAATGGACTCAATGACACTTAGCAACAACAATATCAAGCACATAAAAAGATTCTCATACCATGAGCCATTTGTTGTTGTTATGTGCCGTGAAGTTGATTCTGACTCATAGCGACCCTGTCCAGGGTTTCCGAGGCTATAAATCTTTACAGGAGCAGAAAGCCTCCTCTTTCTCCCGCGGAACAGCTGGTAGTTTTGAACTGCTGACCTTGCATTTTGCAGCCTGATTCGTAATCACTACACTACCAGAGCTCCTTACCATAAGCCATTAGGGAAATGCAAATCAAAACTTAAAGAGACATCATTTCACACATATTTGCTGTTGTTGTTAAGTGTCATGGAGTCATTCTTACTCTTAGTTAGCTAGCCTGTAGACTTCCAAGGAGCAGCTGGGGGACTTGAAACTCCAACCTTGCAGTCAGCAATTCAGTGTTTATCTTACAGCACCACAGCAGGATTCCTCACACTCACTGGGCTAGCTATAATCCAAAACACAGATAAAAACAAGCAATGGTGAGGAAGGGGAGAGACTAGAACTGTCAGACACTGAAAAGGACCTCAAAAGTCTAAACACAGCGTAACCATTGTTGTTAAGTGCCATTGAGTTGGTTCTAACCCATAGCGACCCTGTGTAGGGTTTCTGAGGAATGGCTGGTGAGTTTGAATCACCAACCTTGTGGTTCAAACTAACTTTGTAGTCCAGTGCATTCACCTGCAGTGCCACACTATGACCATATAACCCAGGAATTCCATTACTACCTATAGGCCCAAGAGAAATGAACATGCTAAAGCTTATATACAGATGTTTCATAGCAACATTATTTATAACCCCAAAATGAAAACAATCCAAATCTCTGTCACCTAATTAAGGGATCAATGTGGCACTGTAGGATAAGCACTCGACTGCAAGGTTGGTGGTTCAAATCCACCAGTCACTCCTTAGAAGCCCCATATAGGATCACTATGAGTCAGAACCGATTCAATGATACTTAACAACAACAACAACAAATATCCATGGAATATTATTCAGTCATAAAAAGGGACGAAGTCCTGATATATGCTATAACATAGGTGAAGCTTGAAATATTGTTAAAAATAAAAAAGACTTCATATTGTATGATTCCATGTATGCAATATGTACAGAATAAGCTAAACCATAGAGACAAGAAGTAAATTCCTGGTTGGCTAGTACTAAGGCATGGCATAAGGGTGCATCATGGGCAATGCAAAATAATTGCTGATGGTACAAGATTTCTTGATGGAAATGGTGAAAGCATTCTAAAACAGGTTGTGGTGGTAGTTGTACAGCTCTGTGAATATGGTATATTTCATTGACCTGTATACTTGATATGGGTAAATTCTATGGTATATGAATTTTATCTCAGTAAAGCCATTATAAACAAAATGAGAGGTAACTAAATTTTCAAAGTTTAAAATGCACATTATTTCATTTAAGCATTAAGCTAAGGTGCCCCATTATCTGTGAAAGAATTGAAGACATAGAGGACTAAAGCCTGCCTCAATATTGACATGTCTGCTGACCAAGAGCCTCTAGGAAAACTCTGGGGACAGAAACAAAAACACATTTTCCTTCCAGACAGAAGGATAAAACCCAAAGGTTAGAATTGTGCAATCCAGTATGGCAGCCACTAGGTAAATGTAACTATTTAATTCACAGTAATTAAAATTAAGTAGCATTTTAAACTCAATTCATATACTCAGGTTTCAAGAATTTGGTAGTTAGAGGTGGCTAGTTTTGAACAGATCAGATTATAGAACATTAAAGAACATATCCATCACCATGAAAAGTTCTATCTGGCAGTACTGTATCAGCTGTCCTAAGTATTGTTCAGGGGAGTGCTATGTATCTGTCAGATAAGCACTCGACTGCTAACTACAAGGTCCAGAGCTGAAGCCCACCAATTATTCCTAGAGGGAAAGATAAGCCATTCTACATCCGTAAAGATTTACAAGTCTTGGAAACACTATTCAGGTCGACATGAGTTGGAACCAACTAAACAGCACTTAACAACACCAACAACAAGTACTGGTCAATTATTAAGAAAAATGGGGAAATAAATCCAGCACCCAGTGTAGGTTAAAGCAAATCCCATTCTAGGCAGCAACTTTGCTTACAGTTGACACATTATGTATTTGTTGATTAGATTAAAGAAGAACTAAAAATCTTCTCTTTCTTTTATGTAGATCAACCACTTTGATAATAAGAAGAACAGATATTCTGGCTGGCCAGCAGAGATACAGATAGAAGGCTGTATACCACAAGAGCTAAGCTAACATTGTACTTCCTTAATAAATGTGTTTTGTACAAATGTCTCATGAAATGGTCCAGGAATCTTATCACCTAAACACGTATAGTCAATATTCCATAAAGATTTGGGACTTTCTTTCAACCAACCAATATTTGTTAATTATATTGATCTTGGCACAATATTTATATGCCAGGATTTATATGAGGAGACATTGGTGGTTCCATGGTAGAATTCTCCCCTTCCGCCTAGGAGACCTGGGTTCAATTCCCTGCCCACATAGCTTATGCTCAACCACCACGTGTCTCTCGGTGGAGGCTTGTGTGTTGCTGTGATAATGCTGAAGACCTGGAATCCACTTGCAAAAATCAGCCAATGAAAACCCTGTGGATCTCAATTGTTAGATCCACACTGATCATGGAGATGGCACAGGAACAGACAGGGTTCCATTCCATTGTGCATGGGGTCGCCATGAGTCAGGGGTCAACTCAACAACATCTCACAGCAGTTTATATAGTGACGATATCAATGTGCTGCATTCTGAAAGGGACAGGACTTGACAAAGGGAATCAAATGATTTCATGTGGAAAGGAAAGATCTATTGGAAGCAACTACTGCTCTCAGGGTGGAGTCGTGTTGTGATCAGAAATAAGTTTGTCCCTTTAGTGGTCCAGGCAGTTTTGAAGAATTGTTGTTAGGTGCCTTTGAGTCGATTCCGACTCACAGTGACCCTATGCACTATGGAACGAAACACTTCCTGGTCATGCGCCATCCTCACAACCTGCTACTCTTGAGTTCATTGCTGCTGCCACTGTACCAATTCATATAGTTGTGGTCCCCCTCTTTTTTGCTGACCCTCCACTTTACCAAGCATGATGTCCTTCTCCAGGGATTTGGTCCCTCTTGATATGTCCAAAGTATGAGAGATGAAGCCTAGCCATTTTGGCTTCTAAGGAACATTCTGGTTGTATTTCTTCCAATATAGATTTGTTTGTTCTTCTGGAAATTCAATGGTGCTTTTTTATATTCTTCTCTAACACCATGACTCAAACATTGGCAAGTATGGAAAAACTGGGACCTTCCTACATTGTTGGTGGGACAGTAAAATGGTTCAAACACTCTGGAAAACAGTATGGCGCTTCCTCAGAAAGTAGGAAGTAGAAATACATTATAATCCAGCAGTTCCTCTACTTGGTATATATCTACAAGAAATACAAGCCAGGACACAAGCAGATATATGCACACCAATGTTCATCACAGCATTATATACAATAGCAAAAAGATGGAGACAGCCTAAACGCCCAATAAAGGAAGAATGGATAAACAAACTTTGATATATACACACAATGGAATACTATACAATGATGAAGAATAACTATGAATCTTCAAAACACCTTATAATGAACCTGGAGGACATTATGTTGTGTAAAATTAATCAATCACAAAAGTACAAATATTGTGTGAGGCAATTATTATAAAATCTTAAGAAAAGGTTTCCAAACTAAAAGAAGCATTTGATGGTTACCAGGGAGTGAGGGTAGACAAATGTTACACGAAGAGAGAGGGCAATATACAAGAAGAGGAAGGGTGGCAGAAGAATGATGAAGATAGGTGAAGACACAAGGAGGTGTGCAAGGACTAAAGGAGATAGAGGAAAATAAACATAGCCTTTGAACAAGTGTTCTGTGCATAGATACACGGATTGAGACATAGGCTGGATGGGTAAAGGAGAAAGAGTGGGACATATATATATTTATATATCCCACAAATGCATGAGTTTGAAAGAGAAAAAAGAAACATTCTTTAACAGTTTCCAGGGGTGGAAGGAGGGTAGAGGGTAGACACTCTGGTGATATGCAGGGCAATATACAAAAAAGGAAGGTTGGCAGAAGAATGATGAAGACAGGTGAAGATGTAGGGAGATTTACAAGGGCTTGAAAGGATAGAGGTAAATAGGGATAGATATACAACCTTGAACAACAATGTTATGAGGTAGAAAGAAACATGGTAGACACATACTGAATGGGTATGGGAGGAAGAGTGCCATTTAGTCACTATTTGAAAGAAGATATTTGCACATAAACACAACTATGAATGTGGTAGAGCATACAGTGAACAAAATGATGATGACTTCTTAGCTATCATCAAACATCCTAAGGCAATGAGTAGCTGAGCCTGGGGGCTCAGGACCATAGTCTCAGTGGACACCATGGTCAATTGGCATAATACAGTCCACAAAGATAATGTTCTATATAACATCTGAGATATCAAAAGGTCATGAGTGACCATCTAAGGTGTGGATATTGGTCTCTCTATGTGAAGAAGAAAGAAAGGTGATGAGAATTGAAGGTAATTGAAATTGATATGTCCAAGGGACTAATGGAACATGTGAACATCAGTGTCCACGGCTCTGAGACCAGAAAAACTAGATGGTGCCCAGTTACCACTACCAACTGCTCTGTAAAGGATCCCATTAGAAGGTCCCAGGTAGATTAGCAGAGTATGTGAAACAAAACTCAAAATTATTCTTTAAAAAAAGAAGAATGGGCATAAAAGACTGGAGGAACCTGGGATTGTGGCCCTTGACCACCCTTTAGGTCTGGAAAAGAACTTGGCCCCATGGCCCAACTTTTAGCCAAGCAGTAGATAGGTACATATCTATACCTGGATGCATTCTGCCTCTGGTCTCATTGGGGACCAACAGCCACAGCCAACAACAACAGGGAACAACAACACTAGTGAGGTTTGTTCACTATGAATGATGGAATCATCAATCATTCAGAAATCAAAGGGGCAACATGTACCTAATGACAAAATTAAGAAGGGATGGGAAGGTGGGTGGAATGGAAACAGCCACAGGGAGGAAGTAGAATAACTTGTTCTATGGAAGGGATTGCAATCATTGAGATGAAACAAAGTGTATGATTTGTTGAATGTAAAACTGATGATCTCATCTGTAAACTTTCACTCAATTCACAATAAAAAGTAAAAACAATAGCAACTAAAAAACACCATTTCCAAAAAGATCTGTCAGACAGGAAGAAGGGAAGAATGGATTTGGGTAAGCAATTCACAGTTTCTCCACCCTCAACTTACTGAACTGCTGCAAAGAAGATAGGAGTCCTGGTGTGGCACTGTAGGATAAGTGCAGGACTGACAGGTCAGTTAGAGCCACAAGGTCAGTGGTTCAAACTTACCTCCTTGGTAATACTGGGCCGCTATGAATCAGAACCGAATCAATGACATTAACAGCAACAAAGAAGACAGTGACGAAAAGGAGTATAGCCTTAGAGTCAGACTGATGTACATTTAAATTCTGAGCCCATAATCAATTAGCTCTTGGATCTTGCTCTCCATGTGTAAAAGGAAATAAAAGCACAAATTATAATCAACTATTTAGGAAACTAAATAAATGCAATGGACTACTGCAGTGCAAAAAAAAAGAAGGATCACTGCTCTGCTCCAAGAAGAAAGGCAGGGTGGAATGGTGGGCCGGATGGTGCCTTAAGCCCTCTCCCCCTCTGCACTTGGGGAATGGGGGTTCCATATGAATTGGAGGGGTGCAGGAAAGAATTCTCTATTACTTCTATTACCAAGATTCCTTGGGCATAGTGCACATGGGATCACAAAACCCATCACCATAACAGATCTTGCTTGACCAAGAAAAGGAGACTCAAAGAATTGTGATACTCCAACCTTTAAGGTAATCTTGTTTTGCCCCAGTCCTGGTGCACTTTCACCCAGGGAAAGGGACACCATCTGACACTGCCTGCCCCTGACTAGCCCCCACAACTGACAGGACGCATGAGGACTGACTGGGTTAACAGTCCCTGTGCCCGGCCTAATGCGGACCCTCCCATCTACTCCTCACACCCACACTGGGAAGGGGTCGCTAAGACCATCCCCAGTTTTAACAGTGAGATGGAGATCTAAGAGGAATAGCCCAGGTTCCATGGACAGTAATGCATGGCCTGGGTTTAAGGCCTGGGCGCATTCTGTCTCTGGTCTCATCAGGGACCAACAGCTACAGCCAAGAACTCTTGAAAGTGTCGCACTGTTTGCTCCCGTGCAATCTGGAGGCTGGCAGGTGTCCCCTTGTGAGAGTCTCTCCATTGCCACTCCACTGCTGATCACAGAACGTGGCCAGAGCTGTCACATCCCCTGATGCCCCATAGACGGAGTTTCTGCTGCATTTCCTATGCCTTTCAGGGGATAGCAGGGGAGCTCTAGCTTGTTGTGAAGGAAATCAATTGTTAAATGCCTGCAAGTGCTTTCCAACTCATAGCAACCCTGTATGGGGTTTCTGAGGAGCGCTGGTGAGTTTCAACTGCTGACCTTGCAGTTCAAACAGACCTTGCAGTCCAGTGTTTATCTTATAACATCACACCACTGGAGCTTTAGACATCTCATACTACAAAGTCCAAATCCTGATTCTTCCCTTGCTCCTCCAACTCTGCTCTCTGGACTCTCTGGAGTTAAGACCCAAAAACAAAGCAAAAAAACCATCATTGCCTTGAGTGCATCCTGACTGATAGTGACCCCCAAGGACAGAGCAGAACTTCCCCCAATGGGGTTGCAATCTTTATGGAAGCAGACAATCACAGCATTCTTCCCCAGAGCATCTGACTTCCAACTGAGGACCTTTTCATTAGTAGCAAACACTCAACTGATTGTTTACTGATCCAAGGGACTGTTTTAAAAAAAAAAAAAATTGTAAGCCTCTATAATCCTTCTGCAAAGGTGAATTCAATGCAAGGGTATTAAGTAAATGAATGATGCTTAGGATTTTTTTTTTTTTTTTTGCATTTATTTAAAATCTTCATTTTTGTATTGAAAAGTTAGATAAGAACAGAAACAGCTAAGAACCAGCCCTTCCCATCACCCTGAGCAGGTTCAGTGTCCCTGACAATGTGACTTCTGGGTCCTGAGAGCTCCTGGGGGTTTCCATGCCACCTCATCATCTCACCCAGCATGGGCTGTGGGGGTGG